CCATCCCAGGGTCACTACCCCAGCATTGTAGAGGGGGAATAGGAACCTTACTTCCAATGAGAGTAGATTGGAATTAGAACAAAGCAGGCCCCAGCTCAGGAAAGACCTAGAAAATGACACAGAAATGACGGGGGAGCTAAGTGGCATCCATCCCTCCTACCCCACCTTACCCCAGGAAGGCCTGTTAAAATCCTGTGGGTGGCCAGCTTGTACTAAAGACGTTTCATCTGTCACCTCCATCCCCTGAGTCCACATCTCAAAAATAACCTGAGTAATGCAAGGCGGATGAAGGATTTCGGTGGGATCCTTTCACTTCACAGCTTAGGGCAGAACAGAGTCTTGTCATATCCCTCCTGACAGACGCCAGTCTCAAATGGAAACCCCATACTTCGTTCTGTGCTCTGCGCCCACCCACAGCCCCTCTTTTGGAATATTCTCACCCCTTTCACAAGGTTCCCTTAAAACCTCCCCACTGCCCACCTGTGCGCTCAAATGCACTATTCTCTACTCCATCACTCATTGTGTGACATTGAGCAAGTCCTCTTTCCTTACTGCCAGTCCACTCCTCATCTCTCAAGCAGATGCTCTCTCAAGACCCATTCAGGGCTGGCAATCCACATTAGCACTACTGTCGAAATAATTTTCCTGCAACCTCTTTTCCACAGCTCACTGCCAAAGACACCTACACGGTGTATGGTATTTCCTGATTATTTAAGAGGCTGGGTGGAACCGCTGGCCAGTAAGAGAGAACACTGAAACAGAACAAAATGACCTCTGCACTTACTACAATCTTGCTGTTTTAAGGCCCACTGTTAGGGCTGACTCTATCTAGGAGGCAGTTTCAGGTAAAAATGGCTGACGCAGGTGATCCAATCTCCCGCTCATTACAGCTCCTTGAGGGATGCCTTTACACAGCAGGCTCTTGATACGCATTTAAGGAATACATGTTGATACCACTCTCCCTACCATTTGTTCTTTAATAACTACAATAGGATGTTTGACTATCTACAAAGTCTTCATTTTCTATAGGATTTCACCCTAAAAAAAAAATCTTTTCCTAGCTGCTTCTGGTAAAAATCATTACAGCCCAAACGCAGTAGCAATACCCCTGGTTAAACTGTCTCCCAACTATGAGGATGCTCTTCCCTGTCCAGATCTACCAGGACGGCCACTCACTTGCCACCTTCCTGCCTCCCCTCTCAAGCACCCTGCAGCCTTCAACCTGGTCCTCCCCCCTTCCCCTTCTCTGCTCCTCCGGGCAGCCATGGCCCTTGGAAGTGTTTATTTTTTGCCATCTGTGCCTCAAAGTGACTGTGACTGAAGCAGCTTTGTGTTGAAGGTCTCCTGACACCACCTCCCCTTCAGGAAACCAGAGGCATTTTTTCAAGTCCAGCCTGAGCTCCTCTCTTCCCACTCCTCAGCTCCACCTGAAGCCACGCCATGCAGTCCGTGCAGCGCAGGCTTCCTTGACCAGCCTCTGAAGTCACAGGTAAAGCAAATTCCCTGCCCAGAAGGCAAGCGGTCCCCTCTTCAGCCTGCTTCTGGTCCACGTTGGCCATTCTCCTACACTGCCACCACTTCAGCTACGCCCATCAGGCCAGGAGCACTGAGTCTTTCCCTCTCACGACAGCACCCTGAGAAGCTCTCTCCAGAGACCTATCTGCTCCCTCAAGGGTCTTCTGTAACTGAAGCTTGCAATGACATTTTATGTGCTTCTTCAATGCAGAGCAAACACTATGTTCAAAAGAAAGCACAGGGGTCCAGCAGCAGAGCTTCTCCGGCAGGCTGCACCTCTCTCCTTAGCATCCATGCCTTCACAGCGCTCTTGTAAGCAAGCCCTCCACAGAGCTCCCCGCAATAGGCACTTCTCCTTGTTTTCACAGTCATACTTATCCACACCCCAGGCTGCTGCTGGCTGATGATTTCAGCAGCACCAACTTCACCGGGCAAGATAGAAACCTCGGCGAGCTCCGGGATCACATGCAACTAGTTAATCATTCCCCGTACATACTTTGTACCTCCAAGTCCGGTCTCTCCTCTCCCTTTGTCACTTGTAAGTCTGAGGTTGGACCCTAACCCCTGAAATAATGTCCCCAATTTCCACACTACCACGGCAGGGATCTTCCCCAACACAGGGATCCTGCCGAAGCCCAGCCCATACACCTCGGACATCTCTCCTGCTGCCTGACTGACTCGTCTAGAGGCATTCTGCATCTGGCCTTGACGGCAGTACCCTCCCCTTCTATCCCAACATCTCTGTGTACTTTTCAGTCTCATCAGACCAAACACTTACACACCCTTGAATCTGTGGTGTTCTCATGTGTCTGTGCACAGGAGGCTTCCTTCAAGGCACAATCAATCCCCATGCGATTTTTGTGACACTTTCCTCCATTAACACCCGGGCTGTCCTGCTGCTTTCAGTTATATCTGCTTCCTTCTAAAGTGGGTCCGAAGCAGCTTAAAAATCATATACCCACTGTAAGTATATATTTTTTTCTTTTTAAAGAAGAGAATCAGGACAAAGACAAGACGGGATAAAAGAGATAAAAGCTAGGAGGTGATGAAACATTCAAAACCTTTATCATTAAGGTTCAGAGTCATGTTGTGAGACGTAGGCTGGCGGCTCTGAGTCTGTTTAGAATAGTGAGTTACTCTTGTATGAGCTGGGGCCGGTGCCAGGTTTTGTCTTGTTTTGTTTTTTAGCAATTTGCTCTTCAGGTCTGTCTTTCTCACTGGCCTGGGAAAGTCCTAAGAGAACGCATAATTTCTGACTCATCTCTCTTATGCTGTGTATGTGTGGTATATGACTCAGCACATCAATGGTGCAAAGCAGATCTTTGTTGAATGAATGTTGTCACTGATGGTGAGGGATGTGGGTGGGAGGTACAAGCCCACTGTTTGTTGGGCTCCCTGGAAAGCATTCGAAAAACAAAACAAAACAAAAAAATTATGGGGTCAGCATGGTGGTACACAAGCTAATCCTCCATCCTGTGGTGCTAGCATCCCATATAGCTTCTGACTCCAATCCCAGCTGCTCTATTTACAGTCTAGTTCTCTGCTCAAGGCCTGGGAAAGCAGCAGCAGATGGCCCAACTCCTTGGGACAGGGAACTCACCTGGAAGACCCGGAAGAGGCTCCTGACCCCCAGCGTAGAATCAGCACAGCTCTGGCCATTGCAGTCATTTAGGGAGTGAACCAGTGGGTATAAAACCTTCTCTGTCCCTCTCTGCAAAATCTGCCTTTCAAATGAAAATGCAGCTTTTTCATTCTCACCAAAAAAATGACAAAGGTAGGAAAAGGCAGGGCTAGAATTCGAACCCAGAAGTTCTACCTCTCCAACAAACAGTCCATTGCACTGCACGTTAGCATTGCCTATTTCCACCATCACTGTGTAACCACACACCTTCTCCTTCAAGGACTGGTTAAAAACAGATCAAACACCCTTCTCTGAAAACTTTGCAGCTCACTCACATCCCTGACCTTCCACCACAACGTCAGAAACAGGCACAAAGCTGGGCAGGAAAGGGTACGCCACTATCTGTGAGAGCTGGGCTTTCTGCTGATGGCCAGTGATGTAGCTCTGACGTCACACTGTGCTCACTGGCAGGTGCAGTGCCTGGGCCTCTGACGTCACCCTGGCAGGTGAAGTACCTGGGCCTTTCCTGTGCTTCCATTCCTTCTTCAGAGTCCACAGTCTTCCAACTGTCCCCATGACTATTTTCTGCAGCCACTGCTCCTCTACCCTGAGTGAGTGGAGTTTAACTCATTCTCCTCCAACCACCCCAGCTAAGCTTCTGCAATTTAGAGTCTTCACTTTGGCGGCTGCTGAGCACATCCATCACCTGAAAAAGAACTGCAGGTGCCATCTGAGACCAGCCAGGGACATTTTTAACAACCTGATGACCAGGCCCCAACCCTTCCCTTCCGACTGTTCTTGGGGTGGCCTAGCAGTGAGACTGGACAGCGTAGAATCCTAGTTTGTGGAATCCTAGTTTGGAATGCTGCCCCCACCCTCGTCCTGCAAGGCCTCAGAATCCTTCCCCTCCCCCACCCCTCCTTGACCCCAATTCCCACAGCCATTCTCCTTGCTAACTCTGCTCTATCAGAATTTCTATTCAACACAACCATCTTTCCCGACACAGTGAAAGCACACACCCCCGGGGCCCTCATGTGACTGCTACTTCCAGTTCCAAATGTGTGACAAATCCATTGCAGCACCCTATAGCTACTCTCCTAAGTCAGGCAAGAACCTTTGTAATCCCAACTGCCCCCAGCCCCAGAAGAGATATCACTGTTCTTTGCTGTTTCCTATCACTCAACAAATACGATTCACACAATTTACAGTAGCTAGCTCGCCCCACCAGTGCACTGCTAATTCACGCCCCGTGGAGTACCTAGGAAGAAAGTGCTCAAAATTTAGCTATGATTATTTACCAACGTTATCTTTCACAACAGTGCGGGGGGGGGGGTTAGCTATTACATCAAATCTCCCCTTCCACTCCCCTTCAGCCCGGGCTCGGAGTTAAGGAGCTTTCCAAGGTCAGCCAGGCAGGGATGCGAGGCTCTGCCTTCCCCTCCCATGGAGGGACCCCTCCCATGACAACCTGGGACGGAGCTCGGGGTCGTAATGGAGACAAGTGTGAAGAAGCGTCCAGCACGGTATCCGCCACACAGTGGGAATGCAGGGACAGGAGACCGCGGGGGCCGCAGATCACCTGGTCCCTTCCCCAGCGGCTTCCCCCTGTCCCAGGGTCCAGATCTCCCGGTCCCGGGGCTCTCCCGGTCCCGGGGCGCCCCCGGAATCTCCCAGGCCCGCGCCCTTAGGGGCTTTGTACGCCGCAGGCCGGCCGCGCCGGCCCAGTCCCTCAGTGGCGCCCACGAGGGAGGTCGCCCCGCGGCCGGCCTGCAGAGCCGGGGTCGCGGCGGCTTGGCCCAGATAACCCGCTAGGCAGGCCCGCGGCCCACGCACGCCCGGCCCGCCAGCCCCGGGAGCCTCCTACCTGCAGCGGCGGCGCGACGGCCGTGACGACCGGTGGGAGGGGCCGGCGAGACGCGAGCGCGGGCGGCCTCGGCTTCTCTCACAGGCGGCGCGGCCGGCAGGGCCGCGGGCTCTCCCGAGCGCCGGACGGCGGCGGCGGCGACGGCGCGCCCCCGGCCGGCCAGGCCCCGCCGCGCGCGCCGCGGCCACAAAGCCCGGGCGCCGCCGCCGCCCCCTCGCGGGCCGCCAGCCGCCTGCCGGTCGGTCGGTCGGCGCCGAGGAGGGCGGGAACGCGGCCCCGCGCGGTCCCACCTCCCTTAGTCGCGGCCACCGGCCTCGCTGGGGGGCTGGGCAGGGCGCGGGGTGTTGTCCGCCGCCCACCCCACCGCTGGCGTCCCCCGTGTGGCATCCTCCGGCTGTGATCTCTCGTTCCCTTTTCCCACTTTGCCGAAGAACCCTGAAAAAACCGTGTTTCTATTTCCACCAGCAACAAAAGAATGCATTTATCATCGCAAGGGGTCTTGGCAGCATGGACATAGGCCCTATTTTGGGGGTACTCTAAGGACTCTGTGATGCTTGAAACAGTCAACCCCTACACTGAGCTGACTAAAGACTTAAAAAAAAAATTTTTTTTTTCAGTTTACAGACTGTTCCCCCTTAGACTGGGTGCTCACGGACCCCAAGACCTGGCTGCCGCAGGCACTTTGTACGAGTTCAGTGGAAATTAATGCGCGTGCCAACGAATGCAGGACACACAGACTGACTGTGGGACCTGGCACGTCCCCCCACGATGGGCCTGGGTACTTCCTCTGCTCTGACTCCAAGGGGATTATTCCAGGCTCTAGAAAGGGCAGAGGAAGCTGTTGTTTTTACTGAGATGACATTCACATCACATGAAACTAACCGTTTCAAAGTGAACAATTCAGTGACATCTTTACACTCATCATGTCCAGCATCTATCATCTCTATGGAGTTTTGTGACCCCCAAAAGAAATCCCATATCCCTTAAATTGTGGCTGCTTTTTTCCTCTCTTCTCAGCCCCTGGCAGCAAGCATTTTTCTCTGCAGGTTCGTAATTTTTTGATATTTCACATACACGGAGATAAACGGTATGGGATCTTCTGTTTCTGGCTCCTTAGCCCAATAATTTCAAAGTTCCATGCTCTAGCCTGGATCAAGACTTAATTTCTTTTTATGGCTGAGTAAAATTCCATGGTGTGGAAGGTCCTGTTTCCAAAACTTCATAGGAAATGTCATGAAAAGGTAAAAGCATTTGGTGAAAAAAAAAAAAACTTTGAAATCCAAGCATGCTTTATCTTAGTAAACACGTTGTGTGAACTTTTGGGAGTACATTATATGAACTATTATTTCTTTATGCATCCCAGGATTGATAGCTATTTGGGTTATTTCCACTTTTTGGCTCTTGTTACTAGTCCTGCTCCAACTATTCCTGTACATGTCTGTTTCTGAGTCCCTGTCTCCAATTCCTGCTGTTCTGTATCCGGGAGTGGGGTTGCTGGCTCTTGGGAAGCAGGACCAAGTGAACAATCACCACAGTACTCAGCAGCTCGATGCATCATTTTACCTTCCCACCATCAATGAATGAGGGTTCCCACTTCTCCGCTACCTTGTCCATGCGCACTACTTCCCATTATTTATTTTATTTTATTTCATCCCTTAGATATCTTCAAGGATGTACCTGTGCCTCGATCAGAACTAACGCGGATCCAACACTTTTCAGAGAAACACTAAAATACTTTCTAGGAACAGAAGCAACAACAAAAATGAAGACACTAGCAGGAGTAGGGAATATTCTGTTTGCCAGCTCTCCAAGGCTTGCAAAGTCATTTGATCTGGCCCTACCAGGCAACGGCAGGTGGGACTCAAGATTCAATAAATCTATAGCAGACTAATTTTTAAGTTGATAGTTGTTCTATGGCCCACAAATGAAGTTATAAATATTCAAATAGTCCCTGACAGAAAGAAAAAAAAAGTTTCCCACTCCTGTTAGACTAAAAGCTGTATTACTCCTCAGATAATATTTTGACGACCATTTGTGATCCAGGCAGCTTTAGAATTGTCTGGTGAGCCTGGAAGCACAGACCATCCTGAGGAAGTGCAATATTAGCAGACACACCTTAAGTCAGCCACTGTGCTGGAAGCCAAGGCTGTATTCCTGAGTGTCCCACTTAATTGCCATGTGGGATGGCCACAGATTCCCTTTCTAAATGAAGACACAGTCAAGGAAAGCTGTCATGGTGGAAATTAGGTCAGTCCAGATTGGCAAAGCGGAGCCAAAATGCTACATTTGACAGACTTGAGTCTGGATCCTATTCTGTAGTGTGTATTTCTTCATGAACTAAGTTAACCACCATTATAGAATTTTTAAATATAATTTTATATAGAATTTTTAATAGAATTATATTGTTTCCTAATTTTTTAAAAAAAATTATGTAATTTTATTGGAAAGTCAGGTATACAGAGAGGAGAGCCAGAGATGAAGATCTTCCATGTGCTGATTCACTCCCCAAGTGGCTGTCATGGCTGGAGCTGAGCCAATTCAAAGCCAGGAGCCAGGAGCTTCTTCTGGGTCTCCCATGTGGGTGCAGGGTCCTAGGGTTTGGGCTGTCCTCAACTGCCTTCCCAGGCCACAAGCAGGGATTAGATGGGAAGTGGAACAGCTGGGACATGAACTGGCACCCGTATGGGATCCCGATGCGTGCAAGGTGAGGATTTTAGCCACTAGGTTACCACACAGTGCTGTATCCTAATTTTTAAAATGGGAATAATGATGCTCACCTGATAGGTGAATGGATGATTGAAGTTTTGATTTCAGTAAATGATCAGTGTTATTGTTATTGATTTAAAATAGTGATGACAGACATGAGCCACTTAAATGGTGTTAAGGAGCTATGGAAAACTCATATTTAGTTAAGGCTCTCCTCAAATGATAAGAATAAAGTATCTCCAAAACTAATGTTGTGGATGGATTTGTGGCTGCAGCAGGATAAGCCTCCGCTTGAGACACCTGCATCCTATATAGGAGTACCTGGGATCAAGGCTCACCTCTACTTTTCATTTTTCAAAGTTTATGCTAACTTCATCGAAAGGCAGACTAACAGAGAGGGCAACCGTTTCTACAAGGCAGGGAGTGATACCTTAACATGCATGATACTGTCTGGAAATTTTATGTCACCCCCATGTGGAGTCTCTTGTGATTGTGGCTTCTCCCCTTCTTGGTCGTAGGTGAGACACAAGAGCGTCTTGGGAAGGCAGGCTTTCATGATTGACAGGTAAAGAGAAAACATGGTATTGCAGGGTTGCAAGTCTTCCAGTTCACTCAGACCAGCTAGCCTCTTATCAGTTTACACCATATCCTTCTCCCCTCAGAGATTTCCATCCTTCAATCTTAAAGAGAAGCCAAGAAGGATGGTCTATCTCCTGAAGCTCCTCCATGGTGACTTATGGTCACAGGCCCGGAAAACCTCTGCCTTCCTGATCTAGTGGATCCCTCTCAAGAGGTAGCAGAGTTTAGTCAGTTACTGCCAGTGGTCATGGTTCTTGCATGAGCATTATTACCCTGAGAACTGTTGAAATATGAAAGAAATCTGTCAGTCAGGATAAGCATAACTGAAAAAGTCAGCTCATGGAAGATACCTCTTAGGAAAGAGGTAGGTTTCCTTGCGCAAATTATAGAACTATTTATTTAACCTGGTTGCATAAAGCTTTTCAATATCTCTTCCCCTGAACATTTTGTTGTTAAAGTGAATGTCACAGATTCCATTCATCACTGCACTTTCTACACCCTGTTTTACCAAGATTTGTTCTAGAGCTACTCAATTCTCCATGAGTGCTTTAACCAGAGCACCCACAGGCTACAGTACTTGTTTTAAAACCTAGCCTGTAGCCTGAGCTAAATTGCCTGTGGCAATAGATAGGTGTTTCAAACTGACTTCAGGAAGCATAGCAGGATTTTTCCCCTATATTTTTTATATAGTTTCTGTTATTTTTCCTGCCAATAGCAGCTTTCTGAGAGAATCAGGAGAAGAGATTGTCAGAACATGTCTACAGAGGGTATATAATAAAACCAGAGATTTTGCTTAGCTCTTTGCTTTCTGAAGAGGTGTTTGAGGTCTTTAATTGGCTCGCACGAATACGCAGTTATTGTTCGTGTGCACTAATAAAGACTCAAGAGGTAAAGACTTAGTTTTTTGACAGATGTACTCAATAGAAATGCCCTGTAATTTCATTTCAGTAAGAGTGCTAAGTAGTACCTGGTAAGGCTTCTTCCAGTTAGGCTGTAATTGATTGCAAGGGGATCTAACTTCCCTGAGGAAACTGGCTGTCCACAACTCTTGGAATTTGAAACTGGGAGAAATTGTGTTACCATTCTCCATCAGAGCCTCTTGCATTTGACATAGACTGATAATATGCTCAGTCTGATTCTAAATATCTGAGTCAAACAAATTCAGGGCGAGAAAACATCTCTCATGTAACATTTTAAAAGGCCTAAGTATTACAGTAGCCTTAGGTGCTGTCTTCATCCCTGGGAAAGTAATAGACAATAACTTAAGCCAAGATACTGAAGTCTCTTGGCAAAGGTTAGCCAGAGTCCTTTTATGACTATAATTAATTAGAAGCACTATTGCAACACTGCCCTGAGGCATGTAAGCCATTCTGCTGTCGCCCAAATCTAGTTGCTTAGAAAAGGAGGTTGTCGTCATGAAAGTGGACCTAAGTTTTGCTTCTTTGCTGCAGAAAGAGAAAGGTTTGCCATCAACTCCTGCAATAAAACAACCTTTTGAAGATGGGTTTCCCTGATATTTTCCTTTAGTAATTTGATGATACCAGATCTTAGAGGTTTAGAACCTTGATCCAATTTGAGTTGATTTTTGTATGAGGCATAAGGTCTTATTTCATACTTCTGCAACCCTTCATCCAATTTTCCCAGCATTACTTGTTGAAGAGACTCTTCTTTCTCCTTGTATTGATTTCAGTTCACTTGTCAAAAGTTAGTTGGCTATAGATATGTGGGTTAACTTCTGAGACTTCTTTTCTGTTGCATTGATCTTCAGGTCTATTTTTGTGCCAGTACTAGGCTGTTTTGATTACAACTGTCATGTAGTACATATTAAAGTCTGGTATTGTACTGCCCCCAGCTTTGTTTTTGTTGCTTAACATTAAACATTACTTTAACTATTTGGTGCCTCTTGTATTTCCACTTTAATTCTAGCATAATTCTTTTCTAGATCTGAAAAAGAATGTCATAAACATTCTGTT